TTTGTTCCATCCCCAAGAAGAAGTCTAAATAAATCCAGATTCACCTTCTTATGATGTTATAGTTTGCACAGAATAGTCTGCCATAAAGAAAGTGCGTTCTTCATACTCAATAATTTAATTTTTACTGCAAAATCATTTAATGGAGAATTTTTTCTTTACTGTGTCTGCTGCTGCAAGCAAAGGGCTCAGGATGATGAAAAACTTGGAAGCTATTTAGTACACGCACACACATGCATGCACACATGCAGATAAATAGCATGTCATCGTATGGAGTGTGGACAGTGCATTACCCCAGTTCTGGTATTGAACGAGGCCCATTAGCAGTGTTAATCTATAGATCTAATCATGATCATGAAATAGAGCACTGCTCCCATTCTAGCTGCATCGGCCACACTCATAAACTATGGCACATTTTCCTCATATAACCCACCAGACAAAACTGAGGTCATCTGGAGCCTGTTCCACTTCTTGTAAGGTTTAATTTATTTAACACGCAGAGTAATAAAACAGACTGTAAACAGAGTTGGAGGAAAAGAGAAAGTAATTTTGCAAGTGAGACAGAACTCCCGAGAGTAACAACGTAACAACGGTGAAAACTCAACAAGGTCAAACCTACTGTATAAGAAACAATATGTATAAATGGAAAATGACAAGAATAATTCAGGAAAACATACACACACACACACACACACACACACACACACACACACACACACACACACACACACACGTAATAACATGATTTTAAAATGATATTAATGACCAGGGAAAGATAACTGAATAATAACTTGAAAACATAATCAGATGAATCTTGCTTGAGGGTGCCTCAATGGTATTTTGTACAAGGAAAGGAGACACACATGCACATCAAAACATCTCATTACAGTTTTATTTTTAATAGCACTGGTAAGGCTACACAGCGGCAGAAGGGCAGGGAGGCAGAACTATGTGGAGTGTCAATAACACAGTATGACTGTGCTGTGTAATTATAGCTAAATGATACCAGAATGGTCAAATAGTGAGAAATACACAAATAATGAATAATTACTGTATAACCAAAATCAATAAAGAAACAAATGAGAGCTGTAGGAGAGCTTTGATCAAAACTTGTGCACAAACAGGGCGCTTTAATGGAAAAATAACTGGGGTCTACTGGGACACGTGACGGTGGCGCAGTAATTACAGTCATCATGATCAACAATTGGTTTCTTTTTTTGGTCGCGGATAACTGTCAACCTACATGCATATATGCAAAAACACTATATATGTAAAACAGCATGCAGACACCCACCGCACAGACACACACACACACACACACACACAAGCGTAAACAGAAACACAACCACACATTTAAACGCGCCTACGCTGCGGTTCTAATTACTGCATCCACTTCCCATGAATTCCCCATTATATGCATACACTGAACACCATTTAATGTCAGATCGTATTATATCAAAGAATTACAATAGGTAACAGGAATCAGTTCACAAGATTAATTGTCAGAGGTAGTAATCATTCCCGCCCTCTCATTCATAAAAAAAACAAAACAAAAAACACACTCACCATTTCATGTCTCAACCAGTAATCACTCATTATAGATTAATACAGATCAGCTCTTTTAATTAGCCATCCCACCCACGCAATCGCTGATAAAAGCCTGTGATCTTGCTTGTTTTGTGCAGGCAACAGTCTGTATACACTCTACATGTGTTTGTGTGTGTGTGTGTCTTCCCTGTAGTAAAAAAAAAAAGTCAGCTTCATTCTACATTCATCATAGCTTTGTATCATTAGGGAGGTAACACAGCACTGCTGCACTGAATCAGCCCTGCTTCCTGTGTGTGTGTTCTGCCCTTGTTTGCAAAAGCCTGTGTATTCATGCATTTGTGTACATCAATACACATGTATATATATGTGCCTGCAGCATCATAATCTGAGCTTTGAGGCACCTCTTTTGTTTACAGTATCACTTTGAAGATGGCAGGAGAGTGTGTGTGTGTGTGTGTTTGTGGTGTGGTGTGTGTGTGTGTGTGTGTGTGTGTGTGTGTGTGTGTGTGTGTGTGTGTAAGTGGATGTGAATGACTGTGTGCTTGTATCTGTGACTCTCTGGGCATGTCTTTGTGAAAGACATATCATAATCTGGTTTCTAAAGCATCACTCTCTGTGTTTACCCTTATGCCACTTTGATGAGTTTTTCCTTCAGGCCAAGAACAAGAAAAAAAAAAAAACTCAATCATAGATGGTTACATGCCAAATCCCAGAGAAATAAGAAGCTGCTTAGAATCACCTCCATCTCAACACCTTAAACAGCGCGACCCTGATGAATGACAACAGGCCAGGAAAATGACTTCTTTGCCTCAAGGCCGCAGTGGCTGGCAGTTTTCAAAATTCATCAGACGCCTTCAGTATTTCACCAGCCACACTGACATGACGTGCACCACAGGAGTATGAATCCATGAGCAATTCATTGCAAGAATTATCCCAAAAATGTTACCATAGCACTACTGTTTCTATTCAAAGTATCCACCAATTGACCGCTTGCCAAGTAGTTGTCCAATCATACCTTAGCAACTGTAAGTGGGCACAGCAGGCCTGTCAAATGTTCCAGTGTTCAACATGTCAGAGCACCGTGCTTGGGGCTGTAGTAGAGCCATGATCTGCATTTAAAGAGTCAGACTTTTTTAGCCTCTCCATAACCAAAACACACAAGAGCAAAAGTGTAAGGAATTGATTAAATAGTGTGATTATCTGCTCTAGCATCAGCTGCAAACATTAGCATGTCTGGCTAACTAGAAATTAAATGCTACTTCCAAGGCCAGGAACATGTCATTAGATAGCGTTAAATAAATTAGCATTAAAAAAAAAAGAAAAAAGCCTAGCTCAAAACTGGCACATTAACTGTTCAGGATTTCTTCACTGCATGGAAACCAGGATTGGATGACATCAGAGTCTAGGGTAACCTTAGTAGTTCTTCTAATGTTAAAAGTGAAAACATAAAGTTTGAATTGACCTCTAATGGCTGTAGTGATTATGACAAGAGCAAAGGAGAAAACTAACTAAATAACAAGAGGTTGGGGTGGATGAATGGATCGACAAAACACAGGACTTTGCCACTAAATTAGTGTTTTATAACAATTTCATCATTCATCATTTTAAACTCCTTGTTTCATGAGAAAATGGAAAGCTTGATACATCCTGTAACCTTAGCATACATAGGCTACTTTACAAACACACATCTGATGGAAAATTTGAATCGTCTTACATTCTTCATTTGAGAGCTCAAAGCTGTTGTGACATCACCTTCTCTCCTACAGCACATTTGGATTGTTCGTTGATGCTGATGCTGCCCATCAATCAAGGCTAGGCGTGGCTAACGGCTAGCTAAGTGGTGCTAATTGAGCTAAGACCCTGCAATAATACTTTCATGAAATTCCAAATGATTCATTAGTACTGCTCTCAACCAACACAGAAAGACAGAAGACAGGGAGGAGAAAAGGAGGAATTGAGATGAGAGATAGTGAGTGAAAAAGAGATGGATGGACGGGTAGAAAACATGAAGGAGGAGGGGGAAAAGAGCTAAATAATAAACAGAGAAGATAAACATATCTGTATCCATATTTTCCATTCGAACTGCTTTCCATTCAGCCATGGCTAACACAGTTCCCAGTTGACTTTGTCACAAACACAAATATACAGTAAATACAGTAGTCTATTTTTGGCAACATTCTGGTCAACATGCTAAATCTTGAATCCAATACTCTCACACTGACCAATGTGTACGAGTCTGTGTGGTGTTGATTTTTTGAATTTGCTGAAATTTCACAGAGTAATAGTAGTGTTCCAAAATGTCATCTACTGTATCTGATTTAAAACAAGCACTGAAATACATCAGTTAACAGTTTAAAAAATACACAAGAAAAGAAGAAAGAAGAAAAGAATTATTTCTATAGCCCTTGAAGGTGTGACAGTGAATAACAATAACTACAGTAAGCCCCACTGTGCTTCTTTGTCAAGTTGTCAATCTTAGAATAAGCGTTTTTCTTTTTCAAATTGTTGAGATCTCAATTTACAAAAAGAAAAGTCTTTGACTCGGGTCCTTGGAGCTTGTTTTTGAGTTGTAGAAGTATGTGAGTAAAACCTGCATCAAGGCTATTTTAATTCATTTCAACTGTATGAATTATTAGGCATGCATTGTATTGTGTTTTACGTCTCACCCACACTTGTTGCATGGCACAGATAAAAAAGGACAGAATAAATGTAACAACAAATTCTTCCTAACCATGGACTGGGCTCAGTTAGTGATGCACAAACACAGAAATATAATCAACCACACAACGACAGAACAATTACCAAGCAAACAGCAAATTTAGGATGACACATGGGTCAGTGCTTTCCACAGCCCATCCTGTTTGTACATGTGTGTACTACGTACACGCGTGTGTCCTGGACAAAACAAGCACTTGTAACCCTTCAAGCCGAGTCTATAAATCTGAAACACTTTGATACACACACATCTCTAGGGCATGGATTAGAGGTTGGGGGTCAAAGGTCAAACCAACAGCCAATTAATAGATAACAAAGCCAAGCTTTTCCCTACATTTGTAAATAGTGATCAATAATTCCTGAATCTGGATTAAAGATGGCTCATAGAAGCCTGTACCCATCCACAGTGGATGATCCACAAATGATAAATATTTCATTTTTTTCTTTGTCACACAGCATTTGCTGCATAGCATAATAAGCCATTTTTTAATGAACTGACAGCTTTTACTTCAGAGAAACTGTCAGTGTGAAAACAACCAAGATCTCTTATTACCAAGTGTAGGGCATTAACAGTTTTATGGCCTTGAAGTCGAATAATCAAAGACCTTTTCAGACATTTTATGCTGCGCCCACAAATACTGTGTAAAAAAATAAAAGAAGTGGAATAAGCTAACCAGCTGCTGGATGAAAGAGGAAGCAGCTAAAAAGAAAAAAAGCAGATATGTGAGCTTCAGTCCTACCTCTCTGCTGTGGAGGAGGCCTTCCTCTGACACATCACCGCCAACGAACTGCTTCCCGGTGCCATTTCCTGTTTGATCTCCCACGCAACAAGGTTGCTGGGTTTCACAGCCAGGAAGTTGATGCCTGACTGGAACCACACCCTGCAAAGAGAGAGAGAGAGATCGAGAGAGAGGAAGAAAGAAAAGAAAGAGAAAGTGAGGTTAATCTAAGATCTAAAGATCACACAAGCACATCATAAACAAAAGAGGAAAGAGAGGTTGAGTTGCCACAGTGACAGTTCGGGGGGGAATTTGCTTAAAATTGAATTTGCTTCGCTTGGAATTCCCCTGCCCTGATTTTCGCGCTGATTTTCTTTAATCCCTGATACGTGCCATACTCTCTTTATATAAAATGTCTTTTAAAATTGATTCACGCAGCGTGGTGCCACCTCCCACGGCATGTTTCGGTGGGAGAAGACAAAGGAGTGACAGGGAGAAGCTCTCATGAAAGTTAACATTTTTTACCGCTATAAGTCCTGCGTGGAGGATGAATGGGATGTAGGCTGAGCCGGAGATGATATCTAATACACAAAATGTGATTTTGCTGATGAGAAAGGCTGCAATGAATTGGGCCAATTTCTGCGTGATATGATTTGGGGTTCTGTTTCATTTTGTTAAGCGAGGGCAACAGTTCTCCTCCTTTTTCCCTCTTATCAGCACCGCTTTCACCCTTTTTCGCTTTTTTACTCTTAAAAATTTTCTTCTCACCGACAGTCACACAAATATACATTAACTCTCCTACCTGTCCCTCACTTGCCATCCCTTCATCTGCCCCAGTTTCCCCCTCTTCTCTCTCCAGTTAGATCGTTGCTGTTCATCTCTTCCCGGGCTGTCTTCCTTGTTTTTTCCCCTCCCCTTTTTCCTCCCTCGCCCCTCTTGTCTTCAACTCTCCCTACTTCCATATTTGTTTCAGTTTTCTATTAGATCTCATATCCCTTCCTTTCCTTCCCATCTCTCCTCTGTCTTTCCCCTCCTTCCCTTCCAGATGTCTCCTATTCATCCTTCCTCGCCATTCCCTCGTTGTTCTCTTTATTTTCCTCACCAGATCTCCTCTTTCATCTTTCATCTCTTCTTTTCTCAGCCTCACCTCCTTTCATCCATCCCTATGTGATTTTGTTCCCCCCTCCCTTCTTTCCCCATATACCTTGCCTCATCCCTTCCTCTGTCCCTCCTCCATCCTTCAATCTCAAAGCATCCTATGGTTAATCTCTTTACCCCCCTGCCCCCCCCCCCTCCCTAATCCGTCCCTGTGTGTTTTGTTATCACCTTGACAAGACACTCCCTCAGTTTATTAACACACTTTATAGGCACATATGCACATGCACACACAAGCTTGTTTACTGCTTCTCTTATTAACACACTTACAATAGTCTCTGGCAAACAACAAATACCAGCACAGACATATTCTCCAATAACCTTTTTCCTCTAAACAGAAGGGGGGGGGGGGGCTGCCAACCCTCTTTGTCTCCTTTCTCATTATTACTTTCTTGTGTTTGTCTCGCTTCATGTCGTGCCAAAAACTTGCCTGCAAATATGTCACGCCCGTCCCTTGACATGCTATCTGTACATTTGTTTGTGAGTGTGTATGTATATATAATACACCTGTGTGTGTGTGCGTGTGCTGTATAATAAGCTAAACAACATGCTTTTTGGTGTTTGGCATGAGGGACCGGCCCTCCTGTGAAAACTTGAAAACCCACTTTTTTCTTTTCTTTTTCTGTTTCACTCTGAACTAATTTCTTGGTTTATTTTAAAAGGAGGAAAAAATGTTCCCTAGTTGACCATTGTTTGTGTGCTATGGTTAGGAGAAATTGAAAGTAGCGAAAAAAAAAAAAAAAAGTACACAATGTTTGAGTCTGGTGTGTGCAAGTAGCTCCCAAGCAGCGTGTGTGTGTGTTAGTGTGTGCAGAAACACAGCATAGAATAACGGGCGGTCCGTCTAAAAACTCTTTCATAATTCAACAGCTGAATGTTACATAAAATCAAGAAACTCCCCACAATTTCTTCTGCTTCCTCTGGTTCTCTCTCTCTCTCTCTCTCTCTCTTCCTGTCTGCTCTATCTCCCCCAACCTCACCCTCTTCTCTTCTCTTGCTCCCTGCTATTCACTCCCTCCTCCACCAGCCCAGAATTTAAGATAATCCACTTCAAAGGAAATTTACCGCACCCAGGCTGTGGCAACAAAAGTATGTAAAGCAAAGCAATGAGAGAAGAAGAAAAACAAAACAAAACAAAAAGAAAACAGGAGATATAATGTGAATGACAGACTGACAGGAATGGAGTATATGGGAACACAAATGTATGCCTGAACACCGGCTGAGAAAAGTTTATCCTAGAGATTCTTAGAAGACAAGGTCGTGGCAAAGACGAATCAAAAATAAAACCCTGGAAAAATAAGATAATAAATAACTACTCCAGCGTGTGAGATCTGCAAGCCTCATTCTTGGTAATGCAAAATCAAATAATTTCTTGAGCACTTTGATATAAAATCTTAAAATATATACAAAACACATGTAGAGGAGGATTCCAACAGCGCAGCCACACGAGGATCAGAACTGTGACAGGCGTAAAAAATGCACACCCACATTAGCCCAAAGCCAATGCCATTACAGAAAGTAGGGGGCCTGTCAGCGAGCATTTATCGGACATGCTACCTGAAGAGTGACAACCAAACACTGCAACAATTATTCATGTCACAACAAGCAGAAAATACCTACATTCTGTGCAATTGTAGGGTATTTACTCTATATTATACCATTTAAGGAAAGTACAGATCAGGGTTGAGGAAACAATAATATTGTGGTGGTTTCCTTTGATGTCACTCACATGTTCTTCTTTTAGTTTCATTGCAAACAGCCCTCACCGGAGAAAAGCACAGGCCGTACAGCTGACTATATGCGGAGAAAATATTGTGATTGTTTTGGCAGATAATAGATGTTTTACTTAGTACGTACCCCAAGGTCTCCTGCTGCACTGAGGCTTTACTGATGTCCCTCGCTCGCAAGTCGCTTTGGATAAAAGCGTCTGCTAAATTAGTAAATGTGATGTAAATGTAAATATTCCGATTGCAATATGAGTCACGATTTCAGTTGTAATGGACATTTTTGCATTTTCATTTTCACTGGAAAAAATATAAAGATGATGATGATGATGTGATTTGTGTTGGGGCTTGTACCAAACAAGCATGTTCCTTTAACTCTGGAGATTATGATGCGTAGGCCGGGGCATCTCTGTAGCACCACCATGCTTCATTTATGATATGCTGTGACACATTTTACCTTTATCAAAAAAACTGCAGCTCTTGTGAGTTGTATATTGCACTCGGCCATGTTGTGATTTCGATAATATTTCGGTTAATTGTTTATCCCTAATAAGCACTTAATACAACCTACATTTTACTGATAAGTGACCAGTTGCGTTGGTGTGAGGGGTCATATAAAATCACAATGCTTAATATGAAAGGTCATTGTATTGGTTTTACAGCCTGTGGCTTTACTGTTTTAGTTAACTCTCACCGCTCTCATCAGCCCAATTTTCCACAAAAAGACTCCATTTTATGGTACCTGCCCAGCACCAAAAAAACAGATCCATAAAGTTAGTGACCAGCTTGTGTATGCAGTAGCACATTTAGCATCTAAAAGAGCTAGATGTCCCCCTCCCATAATTCCAAGTGAATGCTATGTTACATCTAAAATGCTGGTATATTTGCCATTACAGTTTTACAAGGCCATAATATGTGTCTGTGACATTATACATTAGTTGTCTGGATGAGTTATTTTTAGAGTACACTAAAAAATGACTAATGTAGCCTATTTATTAATGTAAAGGACTTGCAAGCCCAGTATATATTGTATATATGTTTCCATTCTATAAACAATCTTAAATCCCTTTAAAGGAGTCAATTGTAAGTTTTGCGTTTGCTATGTGGCCAACGTTAGCATTAACAGCTGTTTACTTACCAATCTTGGCAAGAGCTTCAACAATCTTTGCCTTTATAAGGCAAGATGTTATAATACACTCTCTGATCAGCGCTACTTCTGGACTGGATGCTATAATGACTCTGTAACAGAAAGTGACAAGAATCCAACTGGGCTGGGGCTAGCTGGTTAGCATGCTAATTCCATTAGAAGAAAAGAAGTGATAGAAATAGCAGCAAAACAAGAGGGTTGTTCTCCGCAGCTGGAGACAGGTCTTGGCAAATAAAGGAATTAAGTTTGATGAACTTGCAACATTTCTTCTAGACTGGTAAGTAAACAGCTGTTAATGCAAATGTTGGCTATGTAGCAATTGCAAAACTTACAAATAGCTCCTTTAAATTCATCACAATGTGCTGCCAAGGGTCTAACACGCTCAAGTGGAAAGTAAAAAATGAATTTAAAACACCACAAGTGAGTATATGGCTTTAAGTGGTTGCCAGTTCATCCCTAAAATTCAGAGATGATGTGTGTGGAAAAGAGTAGATTGATTTCGCTTGCCTGGACTGGAACTGATGAGCACATATAACCAGAAAAACACACACAGACATTCACATATGTAAGACAACACAGCGACACTACTGTCCCACAGTGCAGCTGTCAGGACTTTGTCGTATGTGTGTGTGTGAGTGTGTGTGAGTGTGTGTGCATGTCTGTCAACAAGCAGGATGATGGACAAGGCTGCGTCCCTAAGCTGCTTCTGTCAGATGCGCATACAGCAATAGAGCCTGACAAGTGTCTGTGTGTTGTTCTTTCTCTGTCTCTGTTTTTTTAAGGTAACGCAGGGAGACAAGCAAAACTTCTCCCCATACTCTTTTTTTTTTTCTCTTTCACTTTGCCTCTTTCACCTCCCTCTGTATTTATCACCCTTTGTTTTATTTTTCATGTCAGCGATGCTGCTCTGTCTTGAAGCTGGGTGAGTGATCTGTAACACGCTCTGTCTGATAAACCTCAACAGATATATTTATAGATATCACTTGTCGCCTCTGCTTTCTAATTTTCTACTGAAATGAAAAAAAGGGGCTTTATTTACACAATATTTGTATGATGCTATCAAAGCGAGGAGAACAATTTCAGTGCAATACACTTAAAAACCTTAGACCAAAAATATTAACTGAGCACCTATTCCT